TTCATCCCCCGCTGACCGACTGACCGGCTTGGCCATGTTTGCGCTGGAGGACGCCTCTATCGAAGCAAGATATTTGTTGCAAGCACGAGAATGCACCGGCCAAGGCATTGGGCTTACTATTCCCTAGCGGCGACTACCAAGGCTAGGCAGGCAGGTAACGTTTGTTGATCCCCACGGCCTAGGCCTGAAGAGTTTCAATTCATTTTCGCCGCAATGTATCCGTTAAGCCAAATACATAGCTTCGGGGGCATCGTAGTCGGTGGCCTCCACCATCAGCCCACACTGTCACGTATTGCTGCCTGCCTGCATGTCTGGAGACTGCCCACAACGCGATGCCGTCACGACACTGCTCAGGCTTGGGCCCAGGATAAGACGACTTCTCAATTGCAATGCCCGGGCAAGCTGCCTACCCTTTTGGGTCGTCCGTCTCGCCGTCCATGCAAAGTCGAGAACTTGTCGAGCCCACAGATATCTCGATATGGGTGGGTGGAGACGACCAGCACCCTCCTTTCTCCACCCTGGATGTCAAGGCTAGGAGGGCGCAAGGATTCCCCTGTATACCGGCTCTGCAGCCTGTAAATTTCGGCGGGGTGGGTCGCAAACCTTAGCATTGTCGGGTCTCTAGGTACCGCGGGCCCAGGTAGTAAATCAGGTATCCGGTACTGGGCGAGCTCCCCGATGGCATATGGGCAGTCCCCGTACCCATACCTCCTGCCCTACCAATCACGACATCCACCACTCGAAGTCGCTAGCCCGCGACGGCCCCCGCCCTCCAAGCCACGCACTGCAGCGAGTGCTCCCCAGCATGCTTTCTGCCAAGTGCCCTGCAGTCACTGTAGACTTACAGGCTACAGCCCCCAGGCCAACCATGCCCTGGTGGAGCTTGCTTGGGTCGGGTCTGGTGCTTTGCAGGCCGCTCGCATCAGTGCGCTTTTTGGTCCGCCGCGCTGGTCACCCACTGGTTTATTTTTTTTTAACTTACCGACGGCGAGATCCCCATCGTCCCCTTCACCCATCCATCGCATGCCGATCGTTTTGTCCTGATCATCTTGCCTCGTCCTCCCCCATTCCTATCCACCTACTTCTTCTGCTCCATTCCTTGCATTCTGCTGAAGCCTCCCCTGTGTTTTCTTTTCTTTTTGCATTGTCTCCTCCACATTCTCCATCCTCCTCCCACTGTTTCACCCTCGGCCTTTGGATCGGGAAGTCTGTGAAACCTTCTCTCCCGCGGACCCATTTCCCTCGTTTTCGGCCTTCTGATCCGCCGTGACTCAGCCTCGACCTGCATTTAATTCCCCGTGTGTCGGTTTACTGAAAAGAGGCTTGCGCTCTGTCTTCGTCTGCACCCACCCCACGAAGATTTGTTTATCGGCCGCAAGCGACTCTGCATTCGCCTGGCCGTTGGCGCGTCGCTCCTCATTTATGCCCTGTTCTCTTCAATCGCCCCCGACCTGCATCTCCTCTGGACTCGAACCGCAATCAAATTGGTCCCGATCATAGCCCTTTCCCTGTGCTGGACACTCGACGGCGGCTCGACTCCGCTGAAGAGTCACTCCAAGCCACACTAAATCCATATCTTTCCTGTCACCGAATCCTCCATGACTGCTTGAGGAGCAATTGTTTTTTTCCTTTCTCCCCGGTGCTGCGGCATCTCTTACCCGAGGATCGCACTTGCCAGCATGGAGGTCGTCCTTCCATCCGAGGAGAGCGGCTACTTCAGCTCTGGCTCGCTGCGTCGATCCCACTCACAAGCCCAATTCGTCAACACACCCACGGCGACATCTCTCGAGAGGTCGTATAACCCAGTTACCAGCTCATACTCTCAATCTGCGCCCTCCACTGCATCCTCATCTCCCCGCACGCATCACCCAGATTCTGCCGATCTTAGCTGCTCCTCAACCCCCGCAAGCAACTTTTCACTGCCCTACGACTTCGACGACACTCTGGCTATCGACGAGACTGCTATCGACGATGACTTCAGCTTCCCGTCATACAAGCGGGATCAACTCTTTCTCCAGCCCCCTTCCAGTACATACGATAACCTAGAGCCTCCCCCGAGCCCTAGAACCGGCGACTCATACACGCCATCTCCTGCAGACTACGGCAGCGCAACTGATACACCCAAACCTGACACTCCCGAATGCTCCGAGCACGCCGAAGATGACACCGCTGTGACCACCCGTCCGTCCCGTCAAGTGGACTATCTATCGCATGAGTGGAGAGAAGAAGATATCTGGTCTTCGTGGAGATACATTGTATCTCGCCGGGGCGAGTATCCGAACAGTGCCAGGTTGGAAAATGCATCTTGGCGTACATGGATGAAGTCAAAGAACAATCTGAGCACCGTGTCACCGGAAACGCTTAATTGGTAAGTGGATAGAAATCTCCATGCCTTTTCCGTTATGTATATTGACCCAATCTCTAGGTTGAAGGAGTGCGATGTCACCTGGCTGTATGGGCCCCTGCAACTGGGAGAGCGAAAACTTTCGCCCTCTAAGACGGAATCCTCAAGCGCTTGTCTGTCAAAGACTGATTCTTTCATCGGACTACACAAGAAGCCTATTCTAAAGAAGCGAAGCATGTCGGAAGTCATGCTTCAGAGATCCTTGTCCACAGCTTCTTTGCTGAAACAGGCTACGGCTGTGGTTCAAGCTCAAGAGACGAAGAAGGTGCTTAGGCCGAGCCTGGTCAGGTCGAGAACTGATTTTGTGACATATCCTTTTTCAAGTCGACGGATGAGTCACGATCTTACCAATAGTAGTACAGCCGCCTCCACCGAATCGTCGGGTATCACATCGCCAAATACGGAGAGGAAGCATATCCACTTCAATGAGCAGGTCGAGCAATGCATCGCCGTTGAGATTAAGGGTGAGGACGACGATGAGGTTGACATTGAACCCTTGGATTCTGACAGCGACTCCGACGATGGCGTGGTCATGAAACGATCAAGGTCGAAGAAAATCATGCCTAAAATGAGGAAGAAGAACCGAGGCTCGTTACCTCCTGAGGGGAGAACGATTGCAATGCTTCCCTCTACTACACTGAAATATCGCGAAGACACGCCCGAACCGCAAGAGACTGCCATGAAGCACTCACGCAGCCCTGTCCTCTCCCCTTCATCTTCGCAGGAGACTCTTCGACCTTCTCGTCGCTCAACCCGATTCATGTTCGGCGATGACGACGATGAGGAAGATCCGACTGACGGCTTCTGCGATCCGAACGCTGGCTGGAGATCCCCTACGTATGAGTCTGGTGGGGGGCTTCAAAGATCAACATCTTCGGGGAGTTTAAACGACGTGCCGGGTGGAATGCGGCGAACCCCATCCGGCATGTTGATGCCTAGTGAAGAAATTGATGCTGCTACAGGCGACACTATCTTCGGTCGTGTCATTGACACTGTGAACACGGCCCGAGATATTGCGCATGTCATCTGGAACGTCGGTTGGAGAAAGTAACTCCCTACGATACGCATCATTCTTTCCTATTGTATCCGCCAACGATGGCCTTTTGTCAGTCCCTTGATCTGACGAGAGACCATCAACTTCTGGCCACAGCGCATCGCTGTTAGGCCTCGGCAGAAGTCATAATGCCACACACTTCTAATATTCAAACATGACCACCTTGGCCGGCGACAATGATGGATATATACATGACTAGATGTCTTTAATACCTATCCATCACTGGCAACAGTGTCGCTGCGTGGATGTTCGCTGGTTTTTCGAGCTGGTAGATCTCGCTGGTCAAGGACCCCATTTTTTCGAGGCACCTTGATCTGTTTCCCTCATTTTTTATTCACTCATTTCGGTTTCTTATTGTTCATTCTTTTCCCTTACTCTCCTTTTGACATATCATAGGCTGGCACATGGTGTTTCGGTTTCTTTCTTTCTTTTTTTTTCTTTTTAACGGTCTGGGCGGCTTCATACAGAGAATTCAAGGATCGGACCAGGTGTATTCGGTTTGTCAATAACATACGGTCAGGACACACGACGGTCGGATAGGTACTTGGACATTCGGGCGAGGGGGGCACAAAAATCACTGCATAAGGCGCAAGGGTGATCAAAAGCCACCCGCCGGAGAAGGGTGCGAGAAAAAAAAGGGACGCCTCCTACCTTCGGCGAGGTTCATCTGGGTTTGGATTTGTACATAGACTTAGCACACGCAAATAATAAGCACACAATCAAAACAACTGCCCCCTTCTCCCTCCCCTATCGTGATGATTCCTTCTTCGACACATCTTGTGTCACCGCCTATTTTCGCCACCGCCCTGAACATGGATGAGCCAGATTGGGGGAGAGGAGGAGGAGGGGGGCGCAGGCATAATTCCTTTTTTCGTGGTCACAAGACGCAAGCCCAGCTGCGGGCTACGTTTGCAATGATGCAAGGTCCGTTTGGGGGGGGGGGCGTGGCCTGGCGTGGTATCGTTCTTTGGTCGGGAGTGTGAAACCGGGTGGAGCAAGCCTCTGGTCCCTGAGCTCAGATGGGTTGGACGATTCATCGTGAACGAGGTCATTTCCCCAACAAAAAAAAAGGTCCAGGGTCCAGTGTGGGGACCCCACAGTCTCAGCGCCCGGGGCGTGACGTATGGGGAAAAGGCAAGGATGGGCGGTCGTCGTCTTACATACGCTTGGGCGGGGGGGAAATGTGCCAGGTCATCAAGTGTGAAATACTACTATGTAATGCCGAGGTATTACGGGTTGTTGATTGATGTTTTGGGTGTGACATCACAGGGTGGCTGCTCTCCTGGGCGATGCTAGTGAATTCCTGGATTGGGGCATCGGAGCGAAAGTCGTCAAGTATAGAGCCGGATAATATTGTTGCATTCGTTTAATGAGTTAGGTTAAATGTGTTTCAGGCTTTGGTCTACATGACTTTTGTTCTATTGTCATTTCTATCATTACATGTTCTTGGATATGTACATCGTAAAATATAGTACACGGGGGTAGTAGTAATACAGTCAACGTTGGCGTTGCGCACTTTGGTGTACATGTGTGTGAGCAAGCTTACTCCTCTGAGGCGGCCTTGGGAGGCCCCAGGTAGTCCAATGCTTGGACCATAATCTCGCCACTGTGGACGTTGATATCGGTCAGTTCCACCTCGAGCTGATCGCCCACTTTCACATCCTTGATCAGCACCTTGTTCTGCAGGCCAATGGCATCGCAGAAGGCACTTAGACCGTAAAAGTCAAGATTGCCAACCAGGCCCGTCTTCCATCGTGACGAGACTGTGAAGCGGAACGACGTTGGTGTAGTCTTCTCGAAACGCCAAGCCCTTACGAGAGCTATGAGGAGCCAGTCACGGTCAGCTCGGGAAACACGACGTGACATCTTCTCCCTCATGTGGAGGAGCGCGATCGTGTTTGTCATTTCATCCTTGGAAAAGGGTAGAATACGATCAAGGTCATGTTGAGAGCCATTTAGCTTGACTTTATTCTCATGCTCATAGGCTAATGCTGCGTGGATTTGCCAGTGAGTGAGAAGATCAGAGTAGCGTCGGAGGGGTGAAGTAGCTTTAGTATACATGTCGAGGCCCATTATGAAATAAGGACCAGGAGTGGCGGCAATCTCTACACCACCTGTGAGAACAGAGAGCTCCGCTCGTTGCTCCATGGATGGTTCGATGCCCTTTTGGATCTGGGGATAAAGTTCGTCGGTGGCATATTTCAGGGCCATCTCATAATTTTGAGCAGACTTTCCATCTTGGCGGTAAGGAATGGGCATTCCGCGGTCAGCACACCAGCGAGCAGCAACCTCGCCGGCAAGCACCATAGTATTTCCTACCACCGACGCCATGGGACCATCCTTGAGCTTCACTTCAATAAAAGGGTCGGCGGGGGTGTATTCTTTAGGATTGGCCGGGTCAAGGTCTGTGGGGGTTTCGGGATATGTGACTCGAATAGATGGCGTAGGGAAGAAATACGGCCACGCGCCTTTAGCTAGGCGCTTCTTGTGAATTGCTTTACCCAGACGACTCAATGTCAGTAAATCATCCTGAGCTGAGGCATCCAATGATTCGGGGCTTGGGATTGTGCGATCCGGCGGGCTCGGAGGCCTTATGTTTTCGAGTCCGACTGAAAATTGAGACGGCGTGATAGTGTTAACCACCTCGTCACCACAAAAGACAGACACGTCGGCTGGATCTAGATAGACAACGTTGCCCAGCCGTGTTGGTGCAATCTTGTAGTCCAAGATAGACCCAGAAGAGTCAACCTTGGCGCTAAAGGTAAGGGCGCGAACATCATTTGCAAGGGAATATTCACGGACAAGCTCCGCAAACTCGCCCTTGGGGCCGCCACCCAAGGTGGCCGACAGCATAGCCTGAAAGTGACCCCGAAGATAGATGTTCTCGGGTAGGAGCTCCATATACTGGGAAAGCTGCGACTTTGGCTTAATGCCTGACGCCGGGTCGGCCGCATGAACATGAATCCAAAACTCGTCGTCTTTGCTAGTCCGTTCGAGTGATATACCGTCATCAACCATGGTGGTTCCCGGGCTGTCAATACAAAACACCGTAGCTGACTTCATATCCGTCCGGTACGCTGCGGCCAAGTCTTCTCGTCTAGACTCTTCTAACAACGGTGGGATATTCCTTGCCAATCCGCCGGATCTCATGATAGTCGTTTTGGGGAAGCGGACAGAGTACCGAGAGGGTATTTCCCAGGGTCGAATGGAACCAATCTCCTGCAAAAAGGTCCATGCTCTTGACTGGTCAAGAGATACATCTGGGTAGAGATCCAGGGCACGAAGAATTGTGGCCCCGTAGCCGGGGAATCGTGAGCTGGGTTCGAATAGATCATAACTGGCCCATGATCGAAGAAATCCGATGATATCTAAATCAACATCTGACCACTCCACTTTGGGCAAGGCAGTGGGAATTGATGAGGGGGCAAGAATACCATGCGGGGTCCAATCCCTCGTTTCACGGCTTGCAAGCACCAGAGAGCGGGCCTTATTAATGAAGCTTTCGAATGGGGTCGGTTCAACCCTTCTTTTCGAAGGGTCCAAGGTGGTGCGAGCTTTTTCTGTGGTGTAATCACGAACCATGGTGGCGACCCGGTTGACTGATTGGTGAAAGGAAACGGGAAAGACTTCAAATATGTGCTCGCGGCGATGGCAATCACTCGTGGGGCTGAGAGGCTTGAAAGCAACCTCATTGCGAGACAGCGACGTGTGGACTGCGTAGAGAGCGTAGGGAGGGAACTCGCCGTTTTCTTTCAAAGAAGCAGGCAGCAGGATGTCGGCGATTTCGAAAAGGCTGAGATACTTGACTTCTTTATCGTCGGCAAGGATTTCTCTGGCCCTGTCCAACTCGTCCATGCTGCCTTGATAAACACGCTGAGCATCCATCGTAAACTTGTTCATCTTATCAATTAAAGAAGAAGCAACGGCTCTTGATGGGCCTTTATCGTCCTGGCGGGCAACATCGAACTCGTCTGGGGTTTTGCAATCTGGGATCGCGGCCAGGATTGGTTCCAACTCTCCCGGGGTGGCAAAATTCGAGACGGAAAAGAAAGACCCAAACCCTACAGTCATTGTCCACCTGCCAGAGGCGCTGAAAAAGTGATGTCGACCGCCAGCGAATCCAAGGTAGACGCCCATGACGGGAGCTCTGCTAGCCTGATACCTATGACACTACAGTTAGACGAGACGATGGTAGTGGATAGGTTGTGCCCGAAGAGCCTCACCTTATTTCAACCAGATCCCCCGGTTGCCTAGAATCCACGCCTACCTCCAAGAGCGAGGTTCCAACCCAATCATCGGCCACGACAGCGGTCATGCCCGCCCTCGAAGCCTTGAAACTCTCGAGCTCCGCCGAGCCGGTGGACTGGGATCTGACGAGAGCATTGGGTGATTTCGTATACGCCAACTTGTCGTGAATTGGATTCAATATCACGTTCTGGTGTTCATTCGTGGAATTCCATGATGCCAGGCGAACCCGGATTGAGAGCGGCTTCGATTTTGTATCAGGCTTCTCGTCATGTTTGCCGGGTTGAGAGGGGTCCGGAAAGTGCGAAGGACCGAAAGTTTTGGAAATGTCGGTTACCTTTGTTACAGTAGAGTAATGGGACTCGAAAAGCGCATCAGTATAAAGTGTAGAGACCGAGGTGGGATAGACGAGGACGGTTGCGAAACTCACTATAACAGAAGAGGTGAGTCTCACTTTGGGAGGGGAAACCCGCCGAGCTACCAGAGTTGCGCCATGACGAGAGCCCTGGGAAATGCACCTCAAGCATGCATTTGAAGGTTTAGAGGACTGTAGCATAGCGCTGGGATGAAGCTTCTGCCCATGAAGCATATGCGACGGTGTGGCTGGGGTCTGATTGTTGCTACGCGAATCCCGATCCTGACCGTCGTCACCGAATTTTTTTTTGGAATCGCAGAGGAGGGACAGTATTAGATCACACTAATCTGACCCACCCTGTAGTTCGCGCCAGGATCCGACACGGAGACCAGACGCGCGATCACGTGATGAATTAACAGATCCAGGAACTTATCGCATCGGCTGCAAAAGTTCCGAATCTACGTCGAATAGGAATACGATGTTTTGTAACAGTACATTCACTTACAGTACCCGCCTTGCTTGTATTGTCAATTGAAAATCGGGCGAATCATGGAATCGGTCGTATGAGTCTGGTCGATGAACTTGGGCTCATCAACAATAACACGGTGTGCTGCGAGCGGTGTGACAGACGTAGGCATATGTGTAACACAACATGGCCTGGCCTGTCTCCAAGGCCAATGGGAGAACACCCCCTTCCGTGGGCATTGGTCTGCTGGGAGAGGCTGTCGACCCTGGAAGCAGAGACAATCGGTTTCGAAACCCAACACTTGAACTTGGGCGGGTGGGGGCATGGTTTGGAAGCAACCAACAAGCCAACACGGGAGAAGGGCAATTTCCTCAAGCGAAACAGTACGCGGCTGTTTAACTCATAACCTCCCTGCTTTGCACAGCAATTATTATCCAAGCACTCGCAGAGAGAAGGCAGAGAGGTAGTAGAGGCCTTCACACTGAAATTACGCGCTCTATGTATTGTTCTAGCCGCCCGCCTATGAGGCTACGCCTGCGATTGAGTGAAAGACAGGCATGTCTGAGGCCAACCCGGTTGTTGGTTGTAATGACGGGAGAGACGGCAATATTATGCACGCGGAGTCATGCTAACTGACATTGGGGTCCGTGTGCCTTGTGACATGAGAGGAGGATTCTTCACCGCGACTTAATTTCTCTCATAGGAAGGCCAAGCGCTCTAAAAAGCTTGACGCTTGGCTATCTGGGATTGTTGGTAAACGGCGGCCTCGGCATTGAATACCAAGTAATGTCCCAGGTCCGCTGATCATCAAACGAGGCAAGGGATCGACGTTACACCGGGGGAGTCGAAATAAAATGTGGACCGGGCGGGCCGGCTGGCATTTGGAACAGGCGGACAAAGCGTCTACACAGCGAGCGGCGTACAATGTCTCTCTGTCTTCACTGATGGAGGACTAGGTGTGACCTCGAGAAGCAGCATCTGGCTGTATGTATGGATGACCTGGTCAAGATATGAGAACGGTGACCGGAGGGGCAGGCAGGTGGTGCCATCGTGAAAAATCTTCATGGACACAACCAACACGTTCGTTGGCTGCACGTTCCAGCAACGTCGAGATTGAGATTGCCCACCGAGCGCCAACGGCTTGGCCAGTAGGCATCGAGGTTGGCGGAAGGGGTTCTGAGACGCCGGCGTGGTGCAACGTACCGCAGCGGGCGAGACGAGCATCGCTACAGGCTTAGCGCCCTCTGGGCAGGCGCTGTGCTCGCGCCGTCAGTCGTTGATGCAGGTCCAGGCGGGTCCCTATTCGCCAGGACGACATGGGACAGGCAGGCACGACTGGGCTGGTGTTGCCTAAAGAAGAACTCAAGAGTGCGGCTTCCCCCTTTCCAGGCCTGCTTGGGCCAATGGAAATTGCACCAGGTTAGCGCCCCTCGCCCAGCTCCCAATCAGCAGCCAGCGCAGTTCCCCACTTCCCCACCTGGTGACTGCGGTGGCTTGCGACCGTGGCTTCCGACCAGGATACCTTAATTGCAATGCCGCGGGCAGTGGCGTATCATGTACTGCAATGGCTGGCCGTGTCTGGGCACCTCTCCATCGCGGACATGGATCACACTGTCCAAGCCCATGCGCCGATTGTGACTCTGCATTCTCCAGAGTGCAGATCCAACCTCAAGTTTGGCCCCATAATGGAGAATACGAGCAACATGCCCCTGGAGACGAGCCGCAGAGTGGCCCTCTTCTCTCATTATCGGTTCCCTCCCTCTCCTCAGAATCTTCTTCTCTCTTCCCCTACTTCGTCAGTTGAGATCCTCAGGAAAGCCTTTTATAGCTGCTTCCGTCCCTTCGTTTGATTCCATCCCGCTTTCACTCCTTCAGCGGTTGTGCCTTCTTTCCATCTCTAGTTCCAATTGTACATCTTCCGAGAACATGAAGGGTGCTATTGTTGTTGCCGCCACTGCGGCCATGGCTGGCGGTGCCAATGCCGTCAACCACGGGCATGCTCACCAGGTCTTCGCTCACAAGAGAAACACTGACCTCTGTTCTACTTGGGTTACTACCATCTGGGAGGAGACTGTTTGTACGTGCTACTGGCCTGATAACATCTAATCTCGAGGATCGTCGAATTGCTAACTCGATTATCGCAGACACCCTCACTCCTACCCAAGCACCAGAGCCATCCACCACCCCCGCGGTTGTCAGTTCTAACTCTCCTGTCACCACGAGCAGCGCTGCTCCCGTGTCACCAACTTCCACTGTGAAGCTGCCCGTGCCAACACCGGAGCCCATCACCTACGCTACTCCCGGCACTTACACCGTCCCTGCCACCACCGTTACTGTTAGCGAGACCACAACGGTCTGCGGTGCCAGCAGCACTCACGTGGTTCCCGGAACTCACACCGTCGGAGGAGTCACAACCGTCGTTGAGACTGCCACCACCATCACTTGCCCCGTTGCTACCGCTACCACGAACAACGGTGTTGTGACCAGCATCATCACGAGCACCGAGTACGTCTGCCCCAGCGCTGGCACCTACACTGTTGCTCCCATCACTACCACCGTCACCGAGGAGTGCGATATTCACTTCCCTGTCCCCACCTCGTATGCTCCTGGTACCTACACTATTCCTCAGCAAGTGGTCACCGTCACCGAGACCAACTATGTCTACTACTGCCCCTACACCAGCTCCGGACTCCCTACCAGCTCCGTCATTCCCGTGACCCTGTCTCCTACCAAGCCTATTGAGGCACTCAAGCCAACCACCACTGCTCCTGCATCCCAGTCCGAGGCCCCCAAGTCCGAGGCTTCCAAGTCTTCCGATTCCCCCAAGCCTACCACTAGCTCTACGCCCAACACTAGCAAGCCTCCATCCGGTGGTTTCGATGGCAGCTTCGGCGGCAAGGGTAACCACTACGGTATTACCTACACCCCTTACTACGGCGAGTCTGGTGACTGCAAGGATGCCACTCAGGTGAAGAAGGATCTTCAGGAAATCAAGAACGATGGCTTCAATGTCATCCGTGTCTACGGTACTGACTGTAACGCTCTTGAGACGATTGGTCCTGCCTGCGAGGAGCTTGGTATTCGCATCATTCTCGGCGTCTTCGTCAAGGGTGCCAGCTGCAGCTACGAGTCCAAGGAAATCAAGGACCAGGTGGACGCAATTGCCAACTGGAAGCATCTTGGTCTCGTCGACCTCATGGTCATTGGTAACGAGGTCCTCATGCAGGGTCTCTGCCAGCCCACTGATCTCGCAAGCCTTGTCACCACCGCCAAGAGCAAGTGGTCTGGTTACAGTGGCCCCTTCACTATCGCGGAGACCCTCAACATCTGGGAGCGATCTGATGTGACCAGTGCTCTCTGCGGCGTCGTTGACTACACCGGTGCCAACATCCACCCTTACTTCAACTCCCAGGTCACTCCCGCGACTGCTGGTGAGTTCGTCTCCGGTCAGCTTGACATCCTTGACAGCATCTGCAGTGGCAAGAAGGCTATCAACCTGGAGTGTGGCTGGCCTGCTGAGGGTACCTGCAACGGTAGTGCCTGCCCTGGTAAGAAGGAGCAGCTTACCGCCCTCAAGTCTATCCGTGAGTCCTGTGGTGACAGGACCGTCTTCTTCTCCTTCGAGAACGACATGTGGAAGCAGCCTGGTTCTTGTGGCTGCGAGCAGAGCTGGGGCTGCAAGGAGTTCTTCAAGGGTCTCCTGTAAGCGATTATAGGTGAAACTCGGGAGACATGGGGATGCGTTTCTTGTATGTGATTCGTGCAATTGCCAGTGACCATTTACATGTACTTTGAGATGGATAAGGCGCTATATAAAATATACCTACTGTTTAATGTATCTATATATAATGATAACCACTTGGCATTCAATCCTAGCATTGGAATTTGAATTATTCGCCAGTTCTTCGCTTCCCAATTTTTCCTAAGAGTGCTTCTGTACAGATCATGAGGTCAGTGAATCCAAACTCTTCATCCACTTGGATGGTAGTCCGTCGTACGGAGTGGCCCCAGCACAGCAAGAGAGTTGCGTGCATTTTTGAATCAGAATCCTCCCCTTGACTTAGACTCCTGGTTACGATTGCTTTGTCTGCTGAACTGTGTGTACTCAATCTGCCAAGAAGCATCTCCTAGCCAGCTACGGGAATCAATCCAGCCGTATTAGACTCGCCATATCCCTCTCAACCACCTAACTCGGTTCATGACAACTCACCTAAACACCATTAGATCACGTAGGCAGGCAACTAGGGGACTGATGGCCTTCGCCTGCGCGAGGTGCTTCGTTATCAGCGCCTGCCGTGGCGCCAGATGAGACCCCCCCCCCCCCAAACTAGAAAAGTTGAGAAAGACGCAATGCCCGACGGACAGAATCGTGCCCGAACCGACCGTAGCGACGAAGGGCAGAGCGCAGACCTCCTTGTCACATCGTGTTCTCGCCCCCATTTGGCCTGCTCCTCCCAAAGTGATTGATCACATACAACACATATACCGCACGTATCAGTGCCATGCTCATCTGACCTAGTTGTATGTATATACTTATAATACCGCAACGTAGCAGCGACTCGTCACTTTTCTCCCCTCCTGCTTTCTTTTTTCTTCTTCTTCCCTTGCATACGAGGGAGCAAGAGAAAAAAGTACGAAGCCTTGTGATAGGTCGGCGTCATCACATACAACCCCCCCCCCCCCCGTTCCCAAGCTACCTACCTAACACATGAGCAGCCCCCCCACACATACGCTCCCCTCGAAAAGCTACACGGCCGAAACGGGTGCGTCGTGGGTAGAGCGATAACATGACAGGTCTTCCGGCCCCCAAGTTGGTTCTCAGCCCCCCCCTTCCTCCCTTCCCTCCCAAACTACATGTTGCACCCATCTAGAAAGGAAAAGAACCCGTCTCGAGCCGTTCCACACGAACCCGTGCTGACACACCCCTCCCCCCCTTTCACGAGCTTGTTTCTCTTCTGCCCGCTGTCCTCCCCCTTCCCGTTCATAAGGGGGGGTTACGTGGTAGCAAAGACCTGGATATAGACAGAGGGCGACGGTGGCCACGAGACCTCCAGAAAACCGCCCTCTGCCCCTTCTTGATGACTCCCGATCTTGGCCCTGGAAATGTGACGACCGGTGCATGGCTCCACCCCGCGGGCTTACTTACCCACCCCGTCGTGTCGTTGGAGTAAGCGAGCGCGAGCGAGGTAGCTGAGAGGGAGAGCGGTGTGCACGTACCTTATACGAAAGGAGATGTCCCTTTGCCTTGTCGCAGTTGGGGGTGGCGATGGCTCGGTCTCCCGTAGGTGGATAACTCGTCTTGACACCAAGTCCAGGCGTAGGGGAGAAAGACGGTAAGCAGGCACGTCAGAGCCCGACTTGTCGGAGTCAATTGTATCATTTTATGATTAGTCGTAGCCTAGGAGATGTTGGACTAGTGACGCCGTGTAGCATCCACGAAGGGTGAGGTATGGTATTAGAAGGATGAACAACAAAAATAACCCCGAGACTGATTCCTGATTGTACTTTGATGATCAATCGAATTCCAGCCTGATTTGTCTAGTATTGAGAGGCCCAATGTCCTCGTTTGCGTAGATATCGAATCTGAGATAATAAGTAGCTGCCTGTTATCCATTACCCATGCTCCTTACCACGACGACAATTCTGAGAGGCAACCGAGAGGAGAAGAGAACAGGATAATAATAACGCCGATATCGCACTTCCAACGCCTTCGTCATTCCATTCCTAAGAAAACAACATGCCTGCGGGCCAAGAAATCCGCTTTGCCCGATGATCATTCCGAGCCTTGATATGCTTCTCATGATATTAACACTCAAGTGATAGCCAAAAAAAAAAAAAAGGAATAGAAAAGATAAAATCCAGAAAGGGGATCCGATATAATATGCAGATAACCGTTGGTGGTTTCTTTCGCCGTGATAAACAACGCCCATATTTGCTCGTACCCGTCCGTGAGTAGTACTTTTGGTAAAGTCATTATGGGTTAGCCTGGCTGAGGGTGGGTGCTCGTCAAGGCCAACTTGGAACGCCTGTCTAAATGCCGCCATAAACAAAATGGGGGTTTGAATCGCGGCAGCTAGAAATGCCGGAGATTTGAAAGAGGATGGGTAAATCGACTGGAGTGAAGCAGCCCACATCTGTCGAATTGAATGAGGCCACCTCTGCGAGTGTCACTGACCAGGACATTCAGTTGTTGGCCGTCCTCGGCGAAGGCTACGCCGCCAACCTCTCCAAATATGTCGATGGTCTGTTTCTTCCGGAATGTCTTACCGTCGATTATGTTGACGTAGTCCGCCTCCTCTGCCGCAACAAGCACTGGTTCACCACTGCCAAGTGGTGAAAACTTCAGGCTTCGAGCACTGGACAGCTCACATAGTATGCTCATGACTGGAGTGCTATTACCGCTGGAATCCGTCCACTTCCGGGCGTCCCAGATCTTGATACGCTTGTCCTGGAAGCCTGTTGCCACTGTCACCCCGTCGTCGGACCAGTCGCAGGAAAACCCGTAGTCGCGATGACCCTTGAGTGCCACCTCAACTGCACCGGTGTCGGCGTTGACGATGCTCACATATGGGGTATCACCTACAAGTACCCGAAGCCGACGATCCGGCGAAATGGCAGAACAGTTCAAAGCGGAGGCGTAAAAGCTTTTCGAGATGAACTTCTCGGTTGTTAGGTCCAGCATTCTCAGACCATTATCGTTGCTGGCGATTGCGGCAACGGGCGACGACGAACGGCGCGGGGTATGAATCTGGATATGAGTAGTGATGGAACCGGATTCACCCGTAATCTTGCCTTCAGAGGGCCTCTGGGCGTCCTCGGCGTGGATGGGTTTGATGCAGTAATCTCCGTTGAAGGTTCCACCCACCAGCACCTCTGAAGTTGCGTCAAGAGCTGTGACAGTACGTTGCGATGAACCAAGGAATCTGACATTCATGGCCAAGTCCGACCTCTTCGATACAGGGTTCAGTCGATTGATACCTCGGCGGGTTGCGTAGTAGACCTGTGACCGTGAAGGGCAGGCGAGGACGGAACGGAGCTGGAAATGGGACAGATGAACATCTGAACGCATTATCGTTTGGCGATATCGAAAGTAGCTCTCCGATGGTGGGATAAAAGTGTCTGACTCGACTGTCTGGACTCAAATGTTAACTCAATCTATATCCAAGGTGACATGCCCGGGTAGAAGTAATACGTACTGTAATAGTATCCGATCCTTGGATATTGGTGTAATTCTTGTAGACTTGATTTCGTGTGATCCTCGCCGTCTTTCGGGTCACTCCCATTCTTTCCCAGTTGAGGCCTTGCATATCGCATCTGTCTCCATTAAGATCTGAATACGAGACTCCTCTTACACTCTGACTTATGTGGTCCATCATGCGGGGAATATTCGGAATTATGAAGTTGGGATCTTTTCTCTGATAAGCTGGGCCGTGGCGACCCCAATAACGAAGGAAGTCAAGTAAGCCGTAGTTTTGAGACCCTGTAATTTCAGCACTCCCTGAGCTTAGCATTAGTGGTGGGAGGTCATCCTCACCAGGGGCCAGCGGCGGGGCACCAGGAAACGAGAGAGGATCCGGGAATCCTAATGCGAAAGGGTTTAGTGAGAATTCCGCCGTAATCATGGGCAAGGTAATAACGACTGGAGTTTGATCCAGAGGGGAGCCAAAGCCGTTGTTGTGAGGTCCCGGGGGCGGGGATTGGTGCGGCGCGGCGTCGTCCTCATCCGTAGAGTCTGGATCTGAGCCATTGGATCCATCAGTGTCAACTTCCTCCATTTCTACTTCAGCCGAATCATTTTCATTGAAAATAGGGCCAGTATGCGAGGGGTATAAGCTATTACCTCCTTCATTCATGCCGCTCTCACCCTCGCCCATGATATCGTCATCAAGCCAAACGCTTAAAGGTGAAGTAGACCCTATTTCAGAAGATGCCGACGAGTCATCAGCTTGGTCGACGGCATTGGAATAATTGCCTGAGCTGTCCTGTAATGATGGGAATAGGTTGAGATCTTGGGCCATTGTGGTGTAGTGAAAGATGGGGTTCTCCGGCAGGTTGCTCACCCCACCGTATTGGCCGGATCCGTGGCTGGCGAGATCAAGGTCCGGTATGTCGTCGTCTTGGCCTTCGCTGATAGACATGCTATCAGATCCGTAGTGAGCAGAGAACGAAGTCGAACTGGTGCCTGAATTCACCTGGGGGGTGTTGCCGATATGATGGGAACTGGCGCCGGCGGCCACGCGACGATGGGCCAGCAGTGGTGGTGTGGAGCGCATGTTGCTGGCGGAGAGGAGCGGGATATGCTCTAGTGTCTACCGACACGTATTTATGCCCATATTACTCGGCCGCAAAAGAAGGTTGCCTTGGCTGGCACATACGAATGAGTAGGTATGCAAGCCTTCTCTGGCCACCTGCAGAGAAGCGGCGCTGGGTTCCGGCCCAAGCAGAACTTTGCCGGCACGATGCAGGCTAGACCGTTATGAGTACGGATACCCAGACCCCCAGGTTCGTCTCTCCTCGTCGCAACACGGCTGAGGTCCTCCAACTTCGGGCAACCACCTGGTCCTCAGATTGATGGTGGTCAAAGTTCAGGTGTCGGCGCCATCCAGCTTGGCCTGCCTGGGTTGCGATCACACGGATGGCGCCGCCTCTGTCGTTTCTTTTTCGCCCAGCGCTCCCCCTCTCTCCTCTAATTGCTCCGCCGCCACTGGTTGGTTGGTGGTGGTGGGAGCTTCCGAGTCAACGGTGTGGGACAGCCAAGCGGTCGGCTGGTTACGTCCAGCGCAGGTCTGCGGGATGACGCACAAGGAAAGAACTAGGGAAGGAACTAGGGAAAGAAGAAAGAAAAAAGAAAAGAAAAAAAGAAAAAGCAATACCTGACTCAGGGGGAGCGTGATGAAGGCAGCAAGGCGCAGTTGTCTGGGCGGCAAGCAACGCAGACGGTAGTTGATTTAGTGCCAGTGCTTGAGGTCGACTCGAAGGAGCGGGAAGGCAGTTAGTAGTAGTAGTCGAGTCGCGGCTGACGGATGGATCGACAAGCTACCCGTGATTGCCCCCAGTTAGCGAGGCCTGCCTAATGGTACCGAAAGGGCATCAATCAATATTCG